CCCCCGGGCTCCCTTTCGCGCAGTCCTTTCTTTTAGATCGGGAACATCGGCAGCTGCACCAGAGCTGACATTCAGTGCAGGGGACCAATCCAAACCCCCAAAAGGGAGGCGGGCGGGGCAAAATCACAACCAAGGCCGCAGTGTGGGCCACACACACACACACAAGTGTGGCCAAACATGCTCACACACAGCTGGGACTGCGGCTGCGGTTTCATACATTTCACATGACCTATAATGCAACAAATTCAGTGGCACAGGCACAACACAGGAATCAAGGTACCAAAAAACTAAAGCCCTACAAACTTAGAGCAATCCTCACAATCGATGGCACCAGAACAGGAATGGAAACCAACAGATACAGCAAGCGCCCAAAAAATTACATAGGCACCTGAACCCTAATCAAGGTAGGAACATAAAACCCAAACCGAAGGGTGACCAGGCGACACAACCTCGACCCCTGACATGAACAGGTTTCATCAGTTGTTCTCTTCCTTGGTCGGTTTCCAATAAATCTCTTTCTGGTGTAAGGTTAACTCTAAACCCAAAACTAGCACTGCAGGAGGGTGGAGACACAAATTGCTGGTGCCCCCAGACCAGCCCTGTGCTGGCTGGGGCACCACTCTTATTGTTCACGTTCTGTAGAAGAGCGCCTGGCGGCAAACAACACTACAAAGAAGAAACAACAAAAAACCCAAGAAAACACTAGACAGAAAACTTCTAAAGAATAAACTAGCACCTCAACTGCAAGAACAAAGAAAAGGCATCAACAGCAAAATACACACTCCACCCCTAGATGCCGATCACAGAATTCAAAGTTCAAAGTCCGACAACCGATCAACAAATGCAAGCAGAGAAAGTAGGATATTTAAATCAAAGATGCAATCCGGCAGTAACGTTAAAGAACAACAACGACACAGTTTCACAAACTAGTCCAACTGACCCCCGGGCTCCCTTTCGCGCAATCCTTTCTTTTTGCAGCCAAGAGCTGATAGATCGGGGCAACGAAATATGTAGCTGCTTTGCAGCAACATCGACAGCTGCACCAGAGCTGACATTCAGTGCAGGGGACCAATCCAAACCCCCAAAAGGGAGGGCAAAATCACAACCAAGGCCGCAGTGTGGGCCACACACACACACAAGTGTGGCCAAACATGCTCACACACAGCTGGGACTGCGGCTGCGGTTTCATACATTTCACATGACCCATAATGCAACAAATTCAGTGGCACAGGCACAACACAGGAATCAAGGTACCAAAAACTAAAGCCCTACAAACTTCGAGCAAACCTCACAATCAATGGAACCCTAATCCAAGGTGGAAACAAAACCCAAACCGAAGGGTGACCAGGCGACACAACCTCGACCCCTGACATGAAGAGGTTTCATCAGTTGTTCTCTTCTTGGTCGGTTTCCAAAAAAGCTACATCAACAAGTTGAAGTCTGCTTATTGTTCACGTTCTGTAGAAGAGCGCCTGGCGGCAAACAACACTACAAAGAAGAAACAACAAAAAACCCAAGAAAACACTAGACAGAAAACTTCTAAAGAATAAACTAGCACCTCAACTGCAAGAACAAAGAAAAGGCATCAACAGCAAAATACACACTCCACCCCTAGATGCCGATCACAGAATTCAAAGTTCAAAGTCCGACAACCGATCAACAAATGCAAGCAGAGAAAGTAGGATACTTAAATCAAAGATGCAATCCGGCAGTAAAGCTAAAGAACAACAACGACACAGTTTCACAAACTAGTCCAACTGACCCACGGGCTCCCTTTCGCGCAATCCTTTCTGTTTGCAGCCAAGAGCTGATAGATCGGGGCAACGAAATATGTAGCTGCTTTGCAGCAACATCGACAGCTGCACCAGAGCTGACATTCAGTGCAGGGGACCAATCCAAACCCCCAATACATCAACCAACAGCCCTAGCACAGACGAGGATGTCGCTGCAATCAACTTTCACTCGCTTGGCCCCTATGCTTTCACAGAGTTCAAATCTGAATCTTGAAGGCCCATCGCTTATGTTTGAATGAGAAGGCACACGACAAAAGTAGGCCGCTGCATCGAGTTCAGCTTCAAATGTCAAAGCTAGATTGACCATGTCCATAGCATGCTGTGATTGAGCACCAGCAGTCACCCAACTGTGCCTGGCAGCGTCATTATCGATGAAGACTAAGATTAAGGCATCGCGCAGCAAATCGGCCCACACGCGTAATGCAACGACGTAAGGCAAGACTTCTGCTTCAAAGATCAACTGTTTGGCACCCTTCTGTTTCCACATTTTAACAACCTTGGCAGGTACTTCTTCACCAAAGCAAGCAATGGGTCCCTGCTCTTTATCAACCAGGACATCACCAATGGAACATACCTGTGCATGACCTTCTCCTTCACAAGCTCCATCTAAGAAAAGCAAGTAAGTTTTCTTTTTGGCAATGCTGATTCTTTTGGGGCGGCCATGTAGCACGTGATCATGTAACCATGCTAAGGCAGTAATCAGTTCCCCCGATACAACTTCCGAAGTAGATGACTCCGCATGCGTCCCAAGCAGGTGCAATGTCTTCTTAGCAAAACGGGCGAAAATGTGGGCATCTGCAAAATTCAAACGCGACCGCAGAGAGGCTGCGGCTTTGGTAGAAAGGCGTTTGGAGGCGATGACTCCAGCAATGGTAGCAGACAACTCCTCTTTCCTGGAGGGCGTATTTGAGATCTCTAGGATGCCGTCACTGGCTCGGCTAAGGTCGAACACCACCCCTAAAGCACTGAAAACGCGGCTGAACGGTTTGTTCTTGGCATCCTCAAGGGCTAGTTTCCAACCTAGAAGCTGAAAGAAAAGCCGCACGGCCCGGTCTGTTTCTTTGGCGCAATCTTCTGGGGCAATGATGATGAAATCATCAAAAAAGGATGTCCAAGCGAAATGCAGCAATGTGGCACCGCAAGCTTTCAAGGCTTCAGCACAACGCAAAAAAATTAGTGACGGCGGCTGTAGCCCCGAAAGGCATCGCATGCAGTTGAAACAAAGCAGGTTCAGTCATGTCAGGGGATGAGACACGTGATTCTACCGTCGGCGGCCCCACAATCAAAACAAACCGAATCAAACACAAATACCATGTGCTCCATCACTCGGCAATGCAACGGAGTACAGATGGCTAAAGCCTCTTTTAGAAACAAGAAACACATCAATGCCAACAAAGGGATCCCAACCAAAGGTAACCCTTAGTTAAGCCCAAACCGGCATCACCCTGCCCACACCGAACCCCTTTCCCTTTTGACTCGCAATGGATGGAACAACACCAGATTTCTACTCTGGCCCTTGCACATAACATCAGCTGCCCAGCTGACCAGCACTGCCCGTGCTTTCCCCCCCGGTAGAAAAAAAGGTGCGGGTGGGTGGGGGAAATAACAGCAACACCTGTCAAAAACCAAGTGGTCCTAACCAATACAGTAGGTACCACAAAACAATCAGCAAAGCTGGACATAAATCAAAGCAAGCGCATGACCAACCATCGTGCTCCCGGGGGTCCTAACAATCTTAAGACTAGAAACCCCGAACACAGAAGGGCCTAGACTATCGCATCACCCTATGTGGCCTGGGGTGCCACTCCACGTGATTCTACCGTCGGAGGCCCCACAATCAAAACAAACCGAATCAAACACAAATACGATGTGCTCCATCACTCGGCAATGCAACGGAGTACAGATGGCTAAAGCCTCTTTTAGCAACAAGAAACCACATCAATGCCAACAAAGGGATCCCAACCAAAGGTAACCCTTAGTTAAGCCCAAACCGGCATCACCCTGCCCACACCGAACCCCTTTCTCTTTTGACTCGCAATGGATGGAACAACACCAGATTTCTACTCTGGCCCTTGCGCATAACATCAGCTGTCCAGCTGACCAGCACTGCCCGTGCTTTCCCAACTCGAAGAGCAAGTGCTGGCAATCACCAAGGATCTGTATTCTTCAAAGATTCACTTTGCCTGGCTTTCTTCACAGGACCGCGCTCCTCCTGCCGCAACCTCGCAGTTTTGACCTCTTCATACAGCTCTGCCCCCTGCTCCAAAATGTCAGCTAAAACCTCCCCACGAAACTCCTTCAAGTTGAATCTAAGCCGCCGGGCAGTGTCAAACCCACTGAAGTCACCATTCGTGAGTTGGTCAGCTTCAACATTTTGCAAGCGCGGCAACCAATGGAGGTGTAGCTCCACCCCTCGTTTTTGTAGCTGTACTGCGAGCTCCATGTTGAAAGCACAAAGGGGAAATTTCGTGGTCATGCAACGCTGTACCACGTGACTGTTTCCTTTGTTATCGGTTCCTGCCGAGCAACATCCGCCTAGCATGTTGCGCCCTTCCGGCTTGAAGAGTACCACCGCAACCAAAGTAGCCAGTAGCTCCAGCGATGCTATTGCGCGATAGCTCTCCCCAGCGGTGAAAGCCCAGCGGGCATTTTGGTGGTCAAGACGCTCGGCAAACCAACGGCACTGGCTTCGATCATGATGATCCAAGGCCCATCCGCCGATCCAGATTTCTGCACCTTCCGCCCTTGCGTCAGTGCGAAAATCCTCCTGCACCATTCCTTGGCAGTTCCCTATCTGCTGTGCCCTACTGCTGCCAGACAACGCGCGGCTCAAAAACTTCATAACTAAGATTGCGAGCTTTGGCAACTTCATCCGCTCGTACTTGCCCATTGCCGAAACCCACGCAAACAGTGGTCCCAAGAAAGGCCTGAAGTTTGACAGCGCACTACAGGCAAATGACAATCTACCCAAGACCGACCGCAAATCTGCCACACGCACTTCCCTGGCTTCGACAGCTCTGTGCAACCATTTTGACAGCCACTCTGCGCGTCTACTTGACAGGCCCAACACTCTTTCCGCAAGCTCCAGTTCAAAGCCAACCCAGCAACACATCAGTCCACCAGCGAACTTCTTCCACGAAAATGGGAGGCCCATGAGCACATAGAAAAAGATCACCAGAACAACATGTTCAATACCACCTTTCTCTCCTACAAGCCACAACAAGTCATCGACATAACCAGTTGCATGATACCAAGCTTGCCCCAGAGGTAGTAAGCAGCTCTGCCCAATCCAGACATGAATCTACTCCAGTGGTAGGCCGCTGAAGCTACACCAAAGGTCCCTACCTTGTTCAGCCAAATTCTGTCTGGGTGGACCCCCGTTCTACACGCCAAATGTTTCGAGTCGCGCTTGTCTACCTTGACTAGCCGAGGTGCTCTACTCACATCTCCTTTGAGAGCGAAGAAGGCATTAGGCAGCGCTTGTAAAGCTCGACGCGCATCCGAAGCCGTGGGGCTTCGGACTTGATCCTGCACCCGTATCTTTGAATTAACAGCGAGGCCGTGTGTTGCATCATGTATAACCCGGTAGCTTCTGTCAGCTTTCTCCAGCGCCCCCAGAGATGCAACAGAAATCTTGCCCCACTCTTTTTGCGCTTGTTCTAAACCAATCTCCATCATGGCTCCCAGTGAAGCCTCTTTCTCAAACTGTTTCTGTATCACATCACGATGTTCCTGTGCAGTGATGTAGTTCTCCCGCAATTCTGTCTGCTCTGTGATATGGTCATAATTCCGCCAGTGTGTCTTAGCAGTGAAGACAGCCGGCACGCGAGGCAGCACACAATTCACACCAAGCCGGACGCCACTTGCAAAGGAATTCTCAGCACTATGAAATGCGAGAGCATCTGGATCTCCTGCCTGCTGAAGAATCGCCTCTAAAGCACACAAGTAGAAAGGCTGACCTTCTGCCACACAATCCGCCGGCAGCTGACAACCTACACTTTTAAGTTGGGCAAATACAATCTCCCTGCCTTGCTGTAGAAGTTCGTCACTGAAAGGACAAGATGCACACTTACCAGAGGCCAAAAGGAAAGCCACGCCGCGAATGTCAACACGCTTTGACAAAAGGTCAAGCAACAAAGTTCCCAGCCTGTGGTGAAAAGCCAGATCAGGATTCTCATAGTAATCTTGCCGCGCTTCTGGCGGCCACCGCCCAGGGGAGCAAAGACCAAAGCCATCTGTGAAAGTTTTGCGCTTGCCATTAAAATTACAATGCATAGGTGGGCCGCGGCCTCTAACACCTTTGAGGTGAATGCCGTCACCTCCTGTTTCATAATCAGCTTCCTCCTCCTCAACCAACTCACCAGCTGATCGCCAATCTTCAGAAGCTGATTCGCCGCTCTGCGATTGGCATTCCCCACCCGCAGGCGACAGAGCGGCGGGGGCAACAGCTAGTCACGACTCAGCGGCAGCAGGGTGCTTGGCACCTCCTTTGAACTTGCAATTTTGAAAAGAATGCTTGCCAAAGCATCGCTGACATGCATGAGCGAAATCACAATGTTTCTTTTGACAACCACCAGCTTTGTTGAAATTGAAGCAAATCTTTCGTCCATCAGGGGTCGCGGCAGATTTGCCCCACTGACGGTCCCATTTGCCTTTGCCCTTGCCGCTGCCTTTGGTACGCGGAGCACCCTGTGAAGTGCTCGACTCCATTTGCTCGCGCTTGCCCAGCTGCAAAGGCGTGACAAAATGAACCCCATACAGCGCCGGCGCCTCACATGCTTTTTCAAGAGCGCTCCCAATGTCATTGCAGATGGCATCACGAACATAGCGATATGCTGTTTTGCGCACTTCCAGCTCATAGGTCAGCACCAATGCCCAACTTGGACCGTTCCCATCGGCCGATCGCAAGCCAGCCACAGTAGCGCCCAAGATGAAATCAGAAAACTTGCGGAAATCTTCCACAATTGATTCTGGAATCCAACCACGGTTGGCATGCCGCGACTTCACAAAGGCCCATGCCAGCCCCAGGCGCCGGTGACGCAGGCGGAGCTCTTCCGGGTTGGCCGGTGGCGTTGTTGTGCTCTTACCAGGCCTGATCCGGAGGAAATTTGAAGCCGGATCAACCACTGCGCTGTATGCTTCCACGGCCGAATCTTCAAAAGATGTTGCTTCTCTGAGATCCTCTGGCACAGGCGCCCCATCTTCAAGCTGCTCAAGCTTGGAAGCAACCAGGCTCTTGCTGGGTGCCTCTTTGTCACGCAAGCGACCCTGCATCTTTTCAACTGCGGCACGCATTGCGGCATATTCTGTGGTCTGAACCAAGCGTGCTTGGCCGCTTGCACTGGCATCGAGTTTTTGCTTTACTTGAAATGAGCGCTGTGATTTTGCACTTTCCCACACTGATACAAGAAGAGCCACTTCTTTGCGTATCGGAAGACTTGCCTCAGCATCCAACCCCATCTGCTTCAAGGCTGCGCGTACACCGGCAGTGGTTTCATCAAGTCCCGCAAAGCTCAACGTGTCAAAGCCCTCCTTGTAATTTTTTTCCTGGGTGTCAGCACTGACGCCTGCCTCTTCCATGAGAAAGAGCAAGGCCGAATCTGCTTGGGATGCCATGGCGAATCAGAAAGCAAAAGAAGGAAAACTCAACAACAATAGATGAGGAAGCGCTATGCCCGGCCAACCAATACACGCAACGGTGTTAATATGTACAGTCGACGTGATTCCACACGCGGGGAAACAAATAAAACACTTCGCAAGGGCAAACAACTATGCACATGAAATCACAAGTGTTCTTTGAACACAAATAAAAAACATGCACCTGCCGTGCACAAACGTGTGAACATGGGCCAAGCACCCGCAAACGTGAAAACACATGTGCTCGTGGCACACACAAGAACATGCACCTGCCGTGCACAAACGTGTGAACATGGGCCAAGCACCCACAAACGTGAAAACACATGTGCTCGTGGCACACACAAGAACATGCACCTGTCGTGCACAAACGTGTGAACATGGGCCAAGCACCCACAAACGCTGCATCGCATGTGCTCGTGGCACACCCATAAACATGCACCTGCTGTGCACAAACGTGTGAACATGGGCCAAGCACCCACAAACGTTGAAACACATGTGCTCGTGGCACACACACACATACAAAACCATGCACCGGCTGTGCACAAGCGTGTGAACATGGGCCAAGCACCCACAAACGTTGAAATACATGCGCTCGTGGCACACACACACACACAAAACCATGCACCGGCTGTGCACAAGCGTGTGAACATGGGCCAAGCACCCACAAACGCGAAAACACATGTGCACACAGAACATGCACCTGCCGTGCACAAACGTGTGAACATGGGCCAAGCACCCACAAACGTGAAAACACATGTGCTCGTGGCAAAACATGCACCTGTCGTGCACAAACGTGTGAACATGGGCCAAGCACCCACAAACGCTGCATCGCATGTGCTCGTGGCACACCCATAAACATGCACCTGCTGTGCACAAACGTGTGAACATGGGCCAAGCACCCACAAACGTTGAAACACATGTGCTCGTGGCACACACACACATACAAAACCATGCACCGGCTGTGCACAAGCGTGTGAACATGGGCCAAGCACCCACAAACGTTGAAATACATGCGCTCGTGGCACACACACACACACAAAACCATGCACCGGCTGTGCACAAGCGTGTGAACATGGGCCAAGCACCCACAAACGCGAAAACACATGTGCGCGTGGCACACACATGAACATGCACCTGCTGTGCACAAACGTGTGAACATGGGCCAAGCACCCACAAACGTGAAAACACATGTGCTCGTTAAACATGCACCTGTTGTGCACAAACGTGTGAACATGGGCCAAGCACCCACAAACGTTGAATCACCTGTGCTCCTGAAAACTATGTAGTTAATCAAACTGTGGCCATGCGTGGAAAGCAGGAAAAACGCGATGGCTCTGGGAACGGCGCCCTTTCAGGCTATGCCCTATATGGAGGAGTGAGAACTATGTACATGCGCATTGAATCTTTCGCCGCTCGGGGCATAATTCATATCAACTTACATCAGATGCACTGGACAGCTCAGAATCATCTGCTTCTTCTGCTTCCGAAACTGTAATGTTTTCGCCAGCTCTCCAACAATGCTTGCAAGATAGGTCGTATGTGAGACCCTTCAGCGTCCAAACGTCCTCTGATGCTTGGACGTCAATGGTCTCTCCCACAGCGCTTTCTGCGGTGCAAGCGACGAAGACGCTTGCTGCCGACCACTGTGACAAAGTAAGGGCTGGCAACCTGGTCTGGGTCCAAAGCCTCCTCTGCTGTTGGGGGCAACGTATCCACAGGCTCCGAGAAAGTTGGCTGGACTCCAAGACCAGGTGCAAATGCTGGGTCCAATAGCAGTAGGCGTCGCTGCATTTCTGCCATTGCGGTGTTCCCGCCTTTGTTGACAATATGCTGCGCTAAGTCATCAAGCCCCGCCTCACGTAGGCCCCACCGGTCAGGGCCACGCAGCGCTTCCACTAACTGCTCTTGCAATCCAGTCAAAACTTGTTGAGATGTGCGAAGGTACTCGTCTGCCGAGGACGTGATGCTCCAGCGCCCGACGAAGTTCCTCTCTGGTTGTCGCACACCTAGGACAGCAAGAAGCGAAACAAGCCAGTTGCGCTCGCTGTGTTCAGTCCAGAAATGGAAAGCTTCTTCAGCAATGATCAACTTCGCATCCTTTTGTACCCACTTTGCATCGTGATGCACAGGCTGCCGAAGTTTGCGCAAGAGTTGCTTGGAGAGGCCCACAATATCACCATAATCCGCCATGCAACGGGTGACCCCTTCCCAATCAGCGCGTGGGCCAACGGAACCCCGGGCCGTACATCCGACCCCTTGACAGTGCACATTGTTCCATGCCTGCCACGCAAAAACCCCTTGACAGTGCACATTGTCCCACGCCTGCCACGCAAAAGATGCGGAGACCCAGGGACGCCAGCGGAACCCCGGGGCGTACATCCGACCCCTTGACAGTGCACATTGTCCCACGCCTGCCAGGAACAAAAACCCCACACGTCAATGTGGGGAACGGAGAAAGGCGGAGACCCACGCCAGCGGAACCCCGGGGCGTACATCCGACCCCTTGACAGTGCACATTGTCCCACGCCTGCCACGCAAAAGAGGCGGAGACCCAGGGACGCCAGCGGAACCCCGGGCTGTACATCCGACCCCTACAACCTAAATTAAATGGACATTTTGACACCAGGGAAGGTACCCCATCCACTAGACGTGGACAATCACCACGTCTTTTTTCACGTTTTTGGAAGGGCAATGTTTGCCATGGTTGATAGGATGTGGATATGTTGGGGGGTTGTCCAATGAGGATATGTTTTTAAACAAATGAGATCGACATTCGCCGGTTGAATCAGTTGAATCCTAATTCCTCGGATTCTTACAGATTTCGCTTGAGGAACCCTCAAAAAAAGAACGTATTCCCTACTTGGTGGCGAACTACCCACGAATCCTCAGCAGGTTATATCTAGCTATATCTCTGGTTCATCCAGAGGGACAAGTGGGTTCTTCATCCACTGAAAGAACTGGGGTTATATATAACCTACTTACGATTCGTAGGTAGTTCACCACCAAGTAGAAATCATATATAACTGGTATTTCAATTGATATTCCCATTATAATCATTGTATAGTCAACCCCATTAGTAAATCCCATGTTAATTTTCACGAGGTCTTGGGGTTTTGGGATTTTTAGGGTATATTGGGTTTCAAAGTCAAAGTGCATCATTTCGAGCAACCTGCGCGCAGAAGGGTCGTGAGGAAAAGTGTTGAATGTTGCGATTTTTTTTGAGTCAGTGGTCCACAGGTCCAACTGGCGTTCCAGAGAAACTGAAACAGTCGGAAACAGTCGGAAACAGTCGGAAACAGTCGGGGGCGGCCCGGCGTGACCATGCCAAAATTGTCAATCCGCCATTTTTTTGCAAAAAAAAACTATCCGCGCAATCCCATTTTTTTTTGAAAGTGCAACGGGAAACAGTTGGAAACAGTTGGGGCTCGTACCCTTGACTCGGCAAAAAACGAGCTATTTAAAACCATTTAAGGTTCATTTTCTTTATAAACCATTTTCTTTGGCATGATCACGCCGGGCCGCCCCCGACTGTTTCCGACTGTTTCCGACTGTTTCCGACTGTTTCCGACTGTTTCAGTTTCTCTGGAACGCCAGTTGGACCTGTGGACCACTGATTCAACAAAAATCACAACATTCAACACTTTTCCTCGCGACCCTTCTGCGCGCAGGTTGCTCGAAATGATGCATTTTGACTTTGAAACCCAATATACCCTAAAAATCCCAAAACCCCAAGACCTCGTGAAATTCAATAAAATCCCATTGGTAAAATCCCATTCTTCCCATATTATATAAAAACATTCCCATTATTATTCCCATATATATATATATATTTATATAGAGTAGAAATTTACATAGTATTCCCATTATCACCGTTATTCTATGTGTATATATATATATATGTATTTATATTGTGAACAGATCAATCCCTGTTCCGGATATGCTCTTACAGTCGTTTGGAGCTCCTGCGTTTATTGTTTACCAGCGTTTCAAGCTGACGTGAAGTTCATTGCAGCGCGCCCATTTTCCTGTTGCGGGGGGGCTTGAGCCAATAGTACATTGGCAGTCTCAAACCTGAAAGTATATGGGATTATTTTGCACTGTAACCCATATGTGTTATTGGTTGATTCCCTTTCGCACCCCCCATGTTCGGTGCTATGTACTTACACCGAACACGAAGGATGGGAACTCGTTTAATTAGTTGCTAGTATACAGTCGCCGCAAAATTACTATTGTGCATGGTTCACCCTTCCTCGACGCCCGATGGGCGTTACGAGGTTGGGCTGACTTCACAGTTTGCAGTGGGCAACCGTACAAAAAGAAAAGTTCAAATTTTGACATAGTGAGAAAACTAAGCTAGTTTAGCGCTAGGCCTCGCCCAGGATCCTCTCACAAGTCATTCTTGAGGATGTTCATCAATGAAGATGGAGATCGCCACATAGTGCCCAGTAGTGATCGATTTTCCAAAAAAAAAGGATCAATTCAGTCGGTGCGTTTCTTCTTGTACTGGGGCGCTTGTTGTGGCCTGTCACCAGGAGATGGCCGAGTTGACTTCGCCGTTGTGGGCATTTGTTGGTATGCCGGTTTGTCCTTGGCAGGACCAGGCGCTGCGGATGAGGAAGAACTCGAGCGACCTGGGGCACTCGTTGGCGCAACCTTTGGTGGAGGTGGCCTCGGTGCATAGGCCTTGGGGCCGCCCTTAGCCTTGGCTTCTGTTTCAGATGCTCTTGCCGCTTCAGCTTTGGCAACATCGTCAACAGCCCTCTTTGCACCCTCGGTTTCGCCAATGGCTTTGTAGACATTCTGCACGATGTTGGGATCAACATTCGGTGCAATGTGCTGGATCCATCGTAGGTGCCCCTTGGAGGCTTCCTGCTCTGCACGTTTGATAGCGTGCGCAATCCTACCGATGAAAGCTTGTGGAAGGTTCACATTGCATTGCGTTGCCGTTACCAGCAACTCCATGGATCGCTCCTTCTCCC